TACTATTATAAATTAACATGTTCATTTTTCCGACAGAGTGTTAGATATTAAGCATAGTCACCATAAATATAGGGGCGGTGGAGTAACCTAGTGGTTAAAGCGTTTGCTCGTCACGCTCAAGACCCGGGTTCGATTCCCCACATGAGTAAATTGTGTGAAGCCCATTTCTGGTGTCCCCCGCCCTGATGGAATATTGCTAAGAGCTGCGTAAAACCACACTCACTCACTCACCATAAGTATAACGTTATCACGATGTGCAGGTATCAGTACATATGCTCTCTGATATTTAGTGCGCCCACGCAAGGACGCACAGGCAGACGTGTATGATCGTAAGAAATTACTGCGATATGCAGGGGTCACTATAGGTTCCAAGTATATCATAAGCATGTGTTTGTGAATCTCCAATTAGATTTGCAACTACTGGTGATACCACGTGTTCTGGAAAGGTGGGACATGGTCCAATAAATACTCAGGGGTGCTTAATCTTATCTCACTCATAGACTCACTCAGTCAGACCTTGAAAGCTGTAACCTTGATCGAAACTCGCATTAAACTGTGGTGGGGGGTCCCGAATGACACAGCGAAGAATTGCTATCCTTTTAAGAACTAAAGAGAGATATATGGCCATGTCAACAGTATCCCAAGACCAACCCACACCGACCCCCGCATCCCAAATGTTCGGTTTATAATTAAAATAATACGACCAGTCTAACATCGATATTTCGGTCACGCCCTGGTGACCCGCTTCCCCTGTGTCCTACTGCAGGTCAAGCTGGACTCAAGTGCTTCAGCTGCCCGAACACACCCCATCCAAAGGACTGCACTGCCATCAAAGCATGCGCTGTTGGAGAGGTAAATTATGCAAATGGTACTACAATGGAGTATTTTTATTATAGGATATTTATGTAGCGCACACATCCACGCAACTAGTACATGCTCAAGGCGCAGGTATTTTTTTCTCCCTCGATCATTGGATGTCAATCTCAACGGCACATTGTATGATCAATCTCAACTCCCTGGGAAACATAACACTGTTGCTGGCTGTAGGCGCACCAAGTTATTGCGGCTTTCCCGTCCTCACGAGGAATCCATTCACAGCTGGGTGGACTGGGACACATAGTCACAAGTTTATTGCACGTTGCTGTACCCGCAACTAGGTGTTTGCTCGTATTCATGTGGCCACCATCTGGTCATATGCCAACGGATTCGTGGGTTCTTTTAAGTTCACGGGGTTGTGTACTGTACACTAGGGGTTGTGACAACACTGAAAGAGTCAGCACACAAAGTTGACCCCAAGGGTTTTACACCCGGTCACAGGTGGGCTCGATCCCGGCACCTGAAGCTTGCTTGATCACTAGCCTGGCGCCCTTGACAGCTTGCCCGCCACCCGGAGGAAGTGTGGTTGATTGGCTGTGTAACGCCGCACGCAGAAATATGGCTATATGTATAATCGAGTCTGGACAGACAATCCAGTGGTCAACAGCATGAGTAACACGATCTACGCAATTGGGATATGATGACACGTGTCAACCAACACAGCGAGCCTGACCACCCAATCCTGTTAGTCGCCATTTACGACAAGCATTCTTGAAGACCAGTTCTAACCCGGATCTTCAAGGGTCTCCCGAGGAAGAACTATTAAGCACTGGTCGGCTTGGTGGTTATCTACAGGTGCCCGTTCTTCAGGTGGAATATTGTTTAGGGATGTGTCAAACAACACAAAAAACAACAACAAATGGACCAGGTTTAACACGCTTGTGTAAAATGGGGATATTTGTTATCATTAAACACAATATATATATCGCTGTCACAATCAGCGCTACAAAGGCGTTGTCCGTCATTGTCGATAACCCGCTACAGCACATAGCCAGTCATGAATGAAAAGCGTTCCGATTTCGTTTGTGTGAACGATACAAGTTTTTATATTGACTGATAAATGTAATTGTGCTGTTAACCAAAATGGATCGCTTGTGAGATTGTTAAATTACGTGTATTCTTATCTTTCTGTATGCATATGTATTTGTCAAGACGAATAATGTGATTGAATAAATTTATATTTGTATATGTTTTAATGACCAGGGCCCTTATTCTCGAAACGTTCATAGCCCTAAGAATACTTAACTTTGCTTGTAGCGAGTGTGTTAAGAATGGGCTTAAGAAGTTCGTAGGGCTACGAATGTTTCGAGAATAGCTGGTCTGTGCTGCAGTAAACCTTTATTGCATATAGCTTACTGTAGAAAAACGATTTTGTAAGCACTTTGGTCGTGTTGGTACTTGGTCATTTCTATGCTGACGGATGTGTCGAATGGGATAAGTCGAACTTTTCCATTGGTCCCGATGAGTTCGACACTACGGGGTTTGTCTGTATAGAGTTTCTTACATATCATAAGTGCTTTATGTCTGGGTTTATTTCTGATTTCCGTTTGTTTATTGCTATTACAAATCAGTGCAATTAACCTATAAAATGTCCATCTTTGTTATCTTATCATTTTTGGTGTTCTCACATGTACATATAAAATCTCATAGATATAAATAATGCTAAAAGCGGCGTAAAACCAAACTCACTTATCATCGTTCAAGGTAAGAGGCGACAAACGGGATCGGGTGGTCAGGCTCGCTGACACATGTCATCGGTTCCCAATTGCGCAGATCGATGCTCATGCTGTTTATCATCGGATTGTATGGTTCAGACTCGATTATTACAGACCGCCGCCATATAGCTGGAATGTTGTTGAGTGCGGCGTAAAACTAAACTCACTCACTCACTCATCGTTCAAGAGGCTATAAAATATTGTCTCATCTACAATATCAACCCTATCAACCTAGATTTTCTTTGTAGTGTTGACTTTTTAAACAAGGAATAAATACTTTTCTGACATTGTGTTAGGCAGATATAACACGTACACGTTGCCTTCGATTGTATACCGTAAGTGCGAAGAAGTGCTAAAACGCAGTGATCAGATTTTTCAAATGTTATTAACCACAACCATATATTTTGACGACATTCGGTTTCAGGAGTGTATGACCATGGCCAAGTCCCGCGCTGGTCACACCGTGTTTGAGATGGGATGCAGGTCTAAGGGGGTAATCATTCTTCTGTTTCTCCTTTCTGTTGGCCCCACACTGCCCAGTCTTGCCGTACGCCGCGAGGATTCGCTGTGAAGAGTTACTGCCCTTTGGCGAGCCTTTGTAGGATTGATCCATACAATGTCATGTAGATTCGACCTGATTATAATCCTAGTTTTAAGTGCGTTTTACCAAGGTGTATTTACCAATAGATGTGATATAAAATGATAATCTGGCAATCATCACAAGAACATTCACTTATTTTTAAAGCGGAATGCCACTTATACTATATCATATATCATTCACCATCAAGATGGGGCGGTGGGGTAGCCTAATGGTTAAAGCTTTGGCTCGTCACGCCGAGGACCCGGGTTCGAATCCCCACATGGGCACAATGTGTGACGCCCATTTCTGGTGTCCCCCGCCGTGATGTTGCTGGAATATTGCTAAAAGCGGCGTAAAACCAACTCAGTCAGTCAGTCAAACAGAGATGATGTAAGAAACGGTATTCCCCGGGGATAACCTCGATAGGCTGTGATATGACTGAACTATTGTCTTTAGTAATCCTGATAAACGTGAATGATAGATACTGACAGCATTCCTCTCTCGCCAACTTTCGCCAACCCTCGCCATCTCTCGAGAACTCCCGCCTACCCTCGCCAACCCTTGCCAACTCTCGCCAACTCTCCTGATTAACCCTCGCCAACCCTCGCCAACTCGCCTACTCTCCTGTCTGGAACTCTCGCCATCTCCCGTCTACCCTCGCCAACTCTCGCCAACTCCCGCCAACTCTCGCCAGCCCTGGCCAACCTTCCTGCCTGGAAATGTTGCTATCGATATACGGTTCGATATATCTTCCAACAACCCATGCTTGTCATATACTAGTAGTCACACTGTGTCAGTCACACTTATGTATGTCCACTGCAGGTATGTGACACGCTCAGAAACAACCTGCACATTATTGTCGGGAAACGCGCGACAACAACATCCTGCAGTAACTGCTGTAACAACGTCTCCCTCTGTAACAACATGCTGTGCTCACAGTCGACACCGACACCTGCAACTACACGTGCAACAGACACTTCAACGGCAATACGGCAAACACCCGCTTCAACAAAGCCCACAGACAGAGTGTCTAAGACACGTGCACCAGCCACAGCAACGACCTTAGCAACAACTACAACGAAAACAACACCAACAACGGTCGACAAGCTGTTATTATGTAAGATTTGATTTTGATCCTGGAATGATTTACGGGGCGGTGTGGTAGCCTAGCGGTTAAAGCGTTGGCTTGTCACGCCGAAGACCCGGGTTTGACTCCCCACACAGGTATAATGTGTGAAGCCCATTTCTGGTGTCCGCCGCCGTGATATTGCTGGAATATTGCTAAGAACGGTGTAAAACTGAACTCACTCACTCACTTCTAAATTTGAACTTCGTGTGAGTTTCAATGGTCATTTAATATACTTTCAGGACAAAAGGGGAGAGGGCTGAGGTGTTGCTGGAGTGGTAACCACCGCCACCACCACACACACAGACACACAGACACACACACACAGAGACACACACATACACACACACACAATCGCGCACGCACGCACGCACGCACGCACACACACACACACACACACACACACACTCTCTCTCTCTCTCTCTCTTTGCCGGTAAACAAAGTCACAAGAACCATCTACATCTCTATCATTCCCCGGGATCGGGTGGTCACGCTCGCAGATCGATGCGCGCAGATCGATGCTCATGCAGTTGATCACAGAATTGTCTTGTCCAGACTCAGTTATTTACAGACCGCCCCCATATAGCTGGAATATTGCTGAGTGCGGCGTAAAACTAAACTCACTCACTGACTCACTCTATCATTCACCCTTCCAGTGAAACTGGGGGTGGTTCCCAGCCAACAGACGGTGGATGTTCGTGAAATGGCCGACTTCGAGTGCAACTTTGACGTCCCAGTTGACCAGCCTATGAATATGTCCTGGTCTTTTATGAATCTGACCGGCCACGTCACCAACATCTACTCCACAGCAGCCGTGAATCCACCGGAAGTCTTCATCGATGTGAAGAACATTTCCGCCTCCGACGCTGGTGTCTACACGTGTGAAGCCAGTATAGGATCGCACACCTGGACAGCGGGAGGAGTTCTCAAGGTGCCAGGTGTGTAAACCGCAATGACAGACCGCCGTCACATGTCTTGAATATTGTTGAGTGCTCGGTCACATTTTCTGTATGATGTTGCTTTGAGATATCTTAAAGTTGCAATCTTTCTTATCTGATTCAGATCCCAACACGACGGTGGAACCTGACAACCAGAACACAACCAACTGTAAGTCTGTGTATTTGCTCTATCCAGGTTAGAATAAATCCCCGCACTGATCTATTTGCCGTATGATATTACTGTAATGAGAATACGTGTGTCTACGTTATGATGGGGCGGTAGGCTTTGAAATGGGCTTCACAGGTTGCACCCATGTGTGGAATCTAACCCGGGTCTTGGGCATGACGAGCGAGCGTTTTAACCACTAGGCTACCCCGCCGCCCACATACATGCAATATATAGAGGATATTATATGAGTGTCCATGTCACACTGTATTTACGACACTCGTGCCTAAATAATGGTATTTCACAAGCGAGAGAGGGATATACCGATATTTAGGTTATATTTATTACCGTCAAATTGAGGAAAATGAACACGAGTATCGCAAACATAGTATGATATCTGAACAAATGTAATGTTATATTTATTACCGTCAAATTGAGGAAAATGAACCCAAATCTACTTTCAAACATACGCCTTCGCCGTATGTAGAACGCAACGTCATAGACGAAACGTGACGTCATAGCATTGTTCATGACGTCACGTCACCATGAGAAAGTGATATTTTGACCGAGGGCATCGTATGAAAAATATGAACCCCGATATTTTCGCCCTCAAAGGTAATACAAATGAATACTTGTCTTCAGGCAACGAATCAGGTGAGAAAGTGAGCCTGACGCAGTTACGATAATGTGTCAAAGTTTTAACAATAGCCGGGTAAGACGTCCTGCAACACTGCCTTTGATATGTTGTTCAAGGGCACCTTCAAGTGATCCCTAGCAACCAGACCATGGCACCAGGTGATACGGCCATCTTGTTGTGCCAGTTTGACCCTATAGTCCGTGACCCGATGACCATGACGTGGACCTTCACCGACATGGCAGGCAGCACCAGAGAGATCTACTCCGACGCGGAACTCAGCCCGTCCATGACGTTCTACGTGAAGGAGCTGGCCGCCGGGGATGCCGGCGTGTACACCTGTCAGGCGTCCTATGGGGATGAGACGTGGACGGCCAACGGCAGCCTACATGTACACGCCTAGAGTTGAAGAAGTACAGTCCATGTCAATTTGATAATGACGATTAAATATCAATACATTTACCCATGTTCATTCTACTCATTTTACAAGCGCAATCATTCTTTTGATCCAGGGATACCCACTTAACACACGCACTTGTCAAACATATTTTCAGTATATTGAATAAAGCTGCGATCATGCTTTTTAAGGCAGGATGGGCTTCTGGGTTACCTTCGTCACCAGTCGCCACTTTCCATAACCTCCAAGAAAACTCGTCCCCCTCTCGATGTTTGTTATGTGAGAAAATACGACAAACTAATCAGAACGCGTGTAATGATTGCAGTGTTTTGCTAAAAATAATCCCCGAGTACTTAATTCGTTTATGACATTATGTGATTGCTTAAAAACATCATGAAAAATATATATCGTCATATTGACAGAACAAAGAACGTAGCTAAAAGAATTGTGTTGCCTCAAGTGGAGTTTTTAATAAGGCAAATGCCAAGGACGGTGAGAGATTCAAATACACGCACGTGCGTTTGTTAACATAACGGCTCCAACTGAGTGTATTCCTGACGATCTTACGGACTTGTTTCAGTTAATGAAACACCTCGCACTTCTGCAAATGATAATGCCCTGAAAAATAGCGTGACAATACGTGACTTGGTGACAATACGTGGAACTTAACGGGTGATCCGCAATCTCCAGGATCCAGTTGCTGTCACCCATTTTAATAACCATTATCTTGCTAGAAGACCTGTATTTATGAATGACAACGCTAGACCACACCGTTCTCGTGCACTGTCAGCTTTCATTCAGAATACTGCAGTGACTTTCGTGGCCCACCATTAGTCTAAACATGAACCCACTGGAGCACATTTGGAACTTTATGCTTGCAAGCGGATACAAGCACTTGCAGCACCCTTTTGAAACGTGGGTATGCGACGTAGGGTGCAGGCAGTTATCCAAGCACGTGGAGAGTACACTAGATTGATTGTACAACCTTCCCAGGTTACAAACAATCGTGTTTGCCTCATCACATACATGCCCTGTTGCATGATCGTATCTCTAGCTCGATACTTGTAACATATTGGTCCAAAACATTTGTATATTGTGCCGTACCGATTATTAAAACGCTAAAAGAGCGTGTTGTCCTGTAGTAAAGACATGATCGTACACATTCATTCAGCTTTTCCAACGTACTATGCGTGCACATCATTGATATTAGCTTGGTTAAATTTACTGGCGGCGCTTAACTTTGTTTCATGTGTATTATTGTTGTGAGTGAATTCGATCTCCGTAAAAAAGTTATAAAGAGGCACTGATCCAGAGTGATTAATGCCAATCACATGCCGTTATTTGAAAATATCCCCGGTACTTCTTGTCTGATCATAATAAAGTATCCCAGCAGTGTAGGCTTTTTCAGATTTTCTAATGCATGGATGGTGTAGTGAATGATCCAATTTGATCCTATTTCTGTGTTTTTTACCTCCACATTTAATCATGTAAAAATATGACGTCTAATACCTATGCTATGATATTAAAAACGCACATTTGATGTATTTGAATCCGTGAACTAAAGAATCCCACTTTACTATTGCTAAACAAATATGAAAATTTACTCCGATACATAGCTATATACAGTTTTTAACTAAGTACACAGCAAATGCTTATATGTATTTCCCATGCAACAACGAAATTCCGTTCGTATCCTCAAAACAGTAGGTTCTTTTCAGGCAATCAAACTTGCATGCAATTCAGCGATTACTGCTCTCCTGCTGTAACTCTTGTATGGTGGTAAACCTACCCATGTTATTTGTTATCATTCACTTGATGGTCAGTTAATGAATTTATAACAGGCATAATTAGTGGTAATACCACTCAGATTACCCGACAAAGGTTCCCATTTGGCTGTCGTGTCTGGAGTAAATACTCATCATTATAAACTGAGGTCTGATGTGGCAAATGTATTACATCTTGCAATGGTCCTCATGAGAACTTTATGATAAGAAACCCAACTGAATTGTTCCACTTTGAATCCGCATTCAACATCATATAACAGATGCACATTTGAGTGAGTGAGTGAGTTAATATCTATCGTCACATCGGCAATATTTCAGCCACATCGTGACGAGAACAATTAATAATTATATTATTGATCAATGAAATTAAAGATTAAAAGCCTCTTGACGAAGAACAGTAAAACTACTAGTGTATCACAGATATCCAATTTAGACTAGTAATTAAGTCTAAAAAGATTTAACCAGAAATGACAAGACAATGTAAAAACAGGCTATAGATCGCCAACATCTGAAGGTAGATCACCATACTAGGGACCACGGGATGCACATTTGAAACCGAAGTCCCACCGTGTCAGTCAATACAGCCTGATGTCAATTTGGAATAAAATAATTGAAAATGGAAAAGATCGTCGATATTTGAGATGGACCAGGCTTCAAGTCAAGATTTCGTGAGCTCGGTAATGGCGACCACCACGTCATCAACAAGCCTTCTGGGATATTAAACGTCAGTATGTCGATCATACAAGTATATACACCGATGGATCAAGGACTGGACACAGCGTCAACTGCACCTGTTACTCATGATGATACTCTATCACTGAAGTTAACCGGCTTTTACTTTAGAGGCTAGGGTTACCCTGTTAGGTTTGCAATTTATTAAAGGTTCCAAGGGAAGCAGATCCATCATATATTCGTATAATGTATCCTCAGTACGTGCAATCAACATCCGTAAAATTGACCATACCTTTTAGTTGAAATGGCTTTTGAACATTTTCTTGGCCAACATTGACATTCTGTTTTGTTGGCTACCCAGTCACGTGGGTATTAGCGGAAATTCTAAGGTAGGAACCGTTGCTAAATCTTGAGAAGTCAATGTCAGGGTGTACATTTCAAGGTAGGAACCGTTGCTAAATCTTGAGAAGTCAGTGTCAGGGAGTACATTTCAAGGTAGGAACCGTTGCTAAATCTTGAGAAGTCAGTGTCAGGGTATACATTTCAAGGTAGGAACCGTTGCTAAATCTTGAGAAGTCAGTGTCAGGGAGTACATTTCAAGGTAGGAACCGTTGCTAAATCTTGAGAAGTCAATGTCAGGGTGTACATTTCAAGGTAGGAACCGTTGCTAAATCTTGAGAAGTCAGTGTCAGGGAGTACATTTCCGTGCTCTGACATGATATTGGCAATATGTCGAACCGTGAAGATCCGGGGTAGAATTGATCCTCAGTAACCCATGCCTGTCTATACCGTGAAGATCCGGGGTAGAATTGATCCTCAGTAACCCATGCTTGTCGTAAGAGGCGACTAACGGGATACGGTGGTCAGGCTCGCTGACTTGGTTGACACATGTCATCGGTTCCCAATTGCGCAGATCGATGCTCATGCTGTTGATCACTGGATTGTCTGGTCCAGACTCGATTATTTACAGACCACCGCCATTTGGCTGGAATATTGCTGAGTGCAGCGTAAAACTAAACTCACTCACTCACTCTTCCTACTACGATAGCTGATTTATGGTCCTCCAAATGGACTTCATTCGATGGCTCTCGGAATCGAACCAGTCCTTGTTCTTGTCAGTGGCATAAACAACATTAAACTCACTTGCAACGGTTGCACTGAGAAGCATCCAGCTTGTCAGATTTCTTTGTTTAAAACTATTTCACACAGACATTGTACGTAAACTGCTTCTAGATTGTAACCCACCTAATCTTTCACTCCTATCGGAATCGTTCAATTCGTCCACATTTAAACATCTTGAAACTCTAAAAACTCCTCTGAATTTTTTGTCTTTTAACATTCTATGTGTATTAACAACATCCGTTAAAAGGACAGGGACTTTTAAATATGTTTATGCAGTATTTTCCAGAGTATAAAAAGGAACATCTTCGCGTTGGATTGGGACCTCGCCAACCTTGTTTGTCGTGGGATTAGTCTAACAACCTCACGTTGACATTATTTCTTCACGTATGCATTATTGTTTGGTTTTCCAAATTTACAAATTCAAAGGCACACAGAGTCTATATATTTCTTGGAAGATGGATGTCGGTTTGTTAAAAGCGTTTCAATTAAAAACACTTCTATGACAAGTGATTTATGGTCCACCAACGTTGTGGAGCAGCTTAACCGTTAGCTCTAACATGATCCATATCGCGGGAAACACCCTACCTATTCATCATGTTGAAACTACCGTAAGCGCACAGTCTGTGTCATCTGACATGTGTGGACAACTGTAACATTCCTTTGTACCTGAACCCTTGTAGTTCTACACGCCATATTTCACACTATGATGGGATTCCCCAACCTATTAACGATTAGTCATTTGCCAGTCTTATAACACTGGTCAGTAGGTGATAGTGTCTCGATGAAAACTCCGATACATAAATGTGTTAACTGTATATAGGACTCCAGCTGTTTTTGATATGAACAGTAGCTAACAGAAACCAAATATGTCTTCAGTGTGGGAATATGAAAAATATCGATCTTAAAATAGATGCAATTACTCCAGGACAATTCAGGACAGCTGTATGCAAGCAGTGCGATAGTGACGGGGGAGAGTGTTACAGAAAACAGGTACATATTTTCGTCGGTATTCGCAAACGTACTGCTTATGCAAACAAACTCTTTTTTAATTAATGGCGTAATATAACACAACGTTTGAACTAGAATAAGATTGTTTCAGATCAGATTCTGTAATGATTGTTTGATGCTATTTCTGGCACTACGACCACAACCACTACTATTACTACTAAAAGATGAAGAAATGTTGCATTCGCAGTATATGTTTGTAAACTGCATTAATGTTACAAGACAATGTTCAAGCAAAATTCAGTTTCAGCATTGCTCGTAAAAGGTGAACGCCGATTGCTGAGTGCAGGGTTTAACAACACCAATATGTTTTCAAATTCCAAAAAAGTTCAAACCAACTTCCTAAATTTGTTTCGAATGTTCAACAGAATATATTCATTCACAGCTGTGAGCTCAAAATTTATTTTCACAAGAAGTCGAATACCGTGGACAA